GGATATTGGAGCCTGCAGCCAGGGTGGTGCGCCACTCTGCATTAACCCACTGTGGAGGCCTTGGGGCCTTCAGTGGTGCTTAATTTCTTACTGGTCCTTTTTCATGCCTTTGAAATTCTCACTCAGATCCTTGAAAGTCTCAAAAAGTCCCTTGAAGCTCTCATTGAGTCCCTTGAAGCTCTCATTAAGATCCTTGAGAAACCTTATCACCATTGTTTTGAACTCTGTATCTAGTAGTTTACTTGCCTCCATTTCATTTTTTCTTTTTCTGAAGATTTCTTCTGTTCTTTCATCATATTTATTTTTCTCTGCATACTGGCTACTTCCCTGTGTTTGTTTTTATGTATTAGCTAGAGCTGCTATGTCTCCTGGAATTGGTAGAATGGCTTTGTGTAGTAGGTGCCCTGTAGGGCCCAGTGGCTCGCTCCTCCCCCGCCTCGATCTCCCCAGTCACCTGAGCTGGGCATTCTAGGTGTGCGCCCCTGTATGTTACATGCATAACCTTGTTGCAGTTGAATCTTCATTGCTGTTGGTTTCACTGGGAAGAGTTGATCTCCAGGCCAATTGGCTGTGAGGACCAGATGCATTTACAGTGGAAGAGCTGCTGTGTAGGAGACACCCTTATGGAGCAATACCTGCTTCAGTGGGGCTTTGGTGCTCAATGAGTCTGCCCCTTGAGTGTGCCACTTGTGGATGTAAAGAGTTATAATCTGGTATGGTCTGAAGTTGTCCACCAGGTGCACTAACTCTGTGGCCTCCTGGGAAGTACAAAGTCAACCACTTGCTGGGGACACCTAGAAGGAGCTACAGTGAAACGAACAGCAATGACGATTCAACTGCAACAAGGCTATTCATGTAACCTATACAGGGGCACACCTAGAATGCCCAGCTCAGGTGACTGGGGAGATCGAGCCACTGGGCCCTACAGGGCACCTACTACACAAAGCCATTCTACCAATTCCAGGAGACATAGCAGCTCTAGCTAATACATAAAAACAAACACAGGGAAGTAGCCAGTATGCAGAGAAAAATAAATATGATGAAAGAACAGAATAAATCTTCAGAAAAAGAAAAAATGAAATGGAGGCAAGTAAACTACTAGATACAGAGTTCAAAACAATGGTGATAAGGTTTCTCAAGGATCTTAATGAGAGCTTCAAGATCACCACCGGTGGTGATTTTTAAAATCAGGAGTGAAAGCTGCTATTTGTATTGGGCTTAGAAGTGCTTAGGTGAGGCCAAGTTTGAAGCAAGGTACACTGTTGCTAGTGCCAGGTCTTGGGCCTCTTATGGACAGGTATGGGGCACACTCATGCCAGCTGCTGCCTGTTTGAGAGATTTTAGGAAATGTTGAGGCCTGATCCAGGATAGTCCTTTCCTATGGAAAAGCTACTGCAAGCCACTTTGGTGGGGCTGCAAGTTGGATGGGGTGGGGTCTTAGGGAATCACCAATGTGGAGGGAACTGTGTGAGCCACACTAATGGAAACTCAGATATGGCTGCCAGTCAGCACTGTGATGGGGGAGGTCCCAGCACAGGAACAATGATCCCTGTGAGTGCCCCCATCTTGGAAAAAGTTGTCCCTTAGTTTCTGCCCAATACCAGACAATAAAGTTCCTCTTCATATGTCCCTGGTTCCCCCAATTTTGCCACTCAGCACTGGAGATCAGACAGAGTAGGACCCTGTAAGTGCATGCACTGGCACTTTAAGAGGAACTGTCTAGGACTCCAGCAGCCACCTTGTCACTCAGCCATAATCCCCAATGGTTTTTACAGCCTGAAGTTATGGGGACTTCTCTTTCCAGCTCTGAAACACTGGGCTGGGTGTCTGGTGTGAGGCTTACACCCCTTACTTCTCATGGGAGGCCTCTGAACTGGATATATCACTCCTGATTTTAAAAATCACCACAGGTGGGTATCTGATCAGCCCATTCCATGCCTCCAACCCTCCTACCAGACTTGATGTGCTTTGTTCTTTACTTCTCTAGTTGTAGAACTTCCATTCATCCAGATTTCAGGCAGTTCTGAATGATGGTTGTTCTTCATTTTAGTTGTAATTTTGCTGTGGTTGTGGGAGGTGCTAGTACCAGCATTTACATATACTGCCATCTTGCTTCTCTGATTTATTTTTTAAGTATATTTTATTGATTTTTTTTTTACAGAGAGGAAGGGAGAGGTATAGAGAGTTAGAAACATCAATGAGAGAGAAACATCAATCAACTTCCTCCTGCACACTCCCCAATGGGAATGTGCCCACAAGCAAGGTACATAACCTTGACCAGAATCGAACCTGGGACCCTTCAGTCTGCAGGCTGACACTCTATCCACTGAGCCAAACTGGTTAGGGTTCTGGTTTATTCTTTATTCCAGATATTGCAGTCTTCATTTCTGACTTATTTTTAATGGTTTATTATAGTTTTTAAACATATTTCCTTTCTCTATGTTCATCTTTTCAATGAGATAATTTATTCTTAGCCTTAGTTCCTTAAATATCCTTATAACCCATATTTTAAACTCTGTATCTGATAAATTGCTTGCCACCATTTCATTTAGTTTTTTTTTTCTGAAGATTTCTCCTGCTCTTGCATTTGGGATTAGTTTGTTTCTCCTCATTTTGGATCCCTCTCTGGGTTTCTTTCTATGTATGAGGTAGATTTGATACATCTCCCAGTCTTGGCAGAGTGACCTTCTGTAGTATGTGCCCTGTGGAACCCAGTGGTGTAGTCTCCTTGGTCACTTGAGTCAGGTACTCCTGGGGTATCTTTTGTGTGGGTTGTGTGTGCCCTCCTATTGTTGTTGAGCCCTGAATGCTCTTGGCCTATCCTAATGTAGTTGGGACTTGAACATTACTGTACTGTTCATGGATGGAGTCTCCTCATAGATTATATGACTACGTGGTTCAGCCCCAAACTTGTCATGCAAGCTGTTGTGGCTGTGTCCGGGTTCTGGAAATCACCAGAAAAGGAACTAAATGAAATGGAGGCAAGTAATTTGTCAGAGAAGGAATTCAGAGTAATGGTTATAAGGATGCTCAAACATCTGACTGAGAATTACAAGCAACACAATGAGAATTACAAGGAGTTCAAGGAGAAATACATGATGAATAAGAATCAATAAGAAATGAAGAATGATATACCTGCAATAATAGGTGTGGTTGACCCTCAGGCTGACTAGCTATGAGGCTTGGCCAGCATCACAGTATATGAGCTGTTGTGTGTGGGCTGACCCCACACAGCAAGATTACCACATTAGTGCTGCTGAGACCACCCTTTGGATATCCTGTTTGTGAAGCCAATTTGGTGATGTTCTTTTGTGATCTGAACCTGGTCACTGTGTATGTTTGTTCTGTGGGTTCTTTTGAGGGGCTCTGGTGCAAGCCCAGTTCAGCCTCTACCTGTGCACGCCCTAGGGCCACCTGTTAAAAACTACAAAGTGATGCTTGATTGGTAGTTGCCTATACTGTTCCCAGAGTCACATGAGAGATGCCACACTACTAACCTAGGCCAGCTGACACCAGTTGTAGGCCTTAGAACACTCAGCAAGAGGCACCAGTCACACAGAGGCCAGCTGTCACCTGCCTGGGGCTTGTGGAGCTTTGAGAGTTTTTAAAAAAGCCTTCAGCATGGACCATAGTCCTTTTCTTATACAAAACAAGTGCTGAAAGAGATTTTGATGGTGCTGGAGTTGGATGGGTGGGGTCCCAGGGAGTCACCAGGTTGGACCAGGGGTATTCACTAGGTTAATGCAGATTCTGATTTGGTGCCTGATTGCAACTGTAGGCAGTGTGGGGAGAGGGCTCAACAAAGGAACAATAGTGGCTGCCCTTCAAGCTCTTGCCTTGAAGTCACACAATTCAGTTTATCCCCATAGGTCCCTGGTACATTTTGAGCTGCTATCTCTTCGCTCAAGCTTAGGATGAGTTTTTGTGATTGAGTGAGCCTGATTCAGGCCCTTTAAGAAGATGCCTGGGTCTATAGCAACCCTCCATCTCACCCAGACAGAATCCCCACTGATTTTCACAGCCAGACATTGTGGGGACTCCACTTCCCAACACTTGTGTACTGAGACAGGGTTCACAGTGTGGGTCTGAGACCTACTGCTCCTCAGGGGGAACCTCCACAGCTGAGATACCCCTCCCAATTCTTTACATGGTTGTGGGATCAGCCTGTTTCCAGTCTTCACCCCTCCTACCAGTCTTGATGTGGCTTTTTCTTTATATTCTTATTTACAGAAGTTCCATTCAACTAGTTTTCAGATTATCTCCAGGGTGATTGTTCTATAATTTAGTTGTAATTTTGATGTAGTCATGGGAGGAGAATAGCACAGCATTTACTTCCTGTTCTATATTGACTAGAAGTCCTATTTGTATATATTTTCATTTTTCAGATTTATTTTTAAATATCAGCTTTAAATAAATATTATAGTGCTCTATAATAAAAATGTGTTTCTTCACTATTCAGGTTGCTTTCAAGTTAACACAAGTGAATCATATTTCACTGAAATATTACAGTGTACATACCATTTTGAATTCTACATTTTTTCACTTAAAATATAATAAGCATTTTCCCTTATTGTGACATAGTCTTTATAACCATTACTATATATATTTTTTTTCTCATATTGCCAGGCTTTAAGTTGTATCCTAATTATTGCTGTGACTAACATTTTTGTATCTAGTTTGTCTCTGTCTTTATAATAGATTCTCAGAAATGGAATTATTAGGACAATGCCTTTGTAGATTCTTAGGATTTTTAAGTACATATTACCAAATTCATTTATAAAAGAATGGTACCAGTTTACACTGTCACAAAAAGAAAATGGCATGAAAATGCTTATTTTATCATACCCTTACCTCATGATTTGTCTTTGCTAACTTAGAAATAAAAAACTTAGGGAATAAAATTTTATATTGCACTGATACCGGCTGCATTTTAAAATAAAAATTGAATCTGTTACTTCAAGGTATGTTCCAGCATCAACTTATTTCAGTGTAATAATTACCTACCTGGACCCAATAGGTATTAACCAGAACTTCTTGTTGTCTCCAAACACCTGCTGGATATTTTTGATGAAGCCAAGGTTGAACCCATTTTTCTTTGGACCACTTATAAACACTGGAGTACAGAAGGCCTCTGGGGCATGTAGGGGAGTTGAATAAAAGAGGAAGAAGACAAAAGGAAAAAAAAATTCAGGAAAGTCATGATTTTACAGTTATCCATCAATGAGAATTGGTTATGATACCTTTCTGCTGTGGTAGCATAGGCCTTTCATTCTTATTTACTTAGTAAAAACTATTTTAACCACTTAACACAAAGTAAGTTTGTTATTAAACACAAAGAATTGGTACTCTTTTTTATTTAAAAAAAAGGCAGAAAAAATAAATAATGGTAGAAAAATTAAGTAGCCATGGGCATAATATAATTTTGTCGTGCTGCATGTAAGGAGTGAAATAATAGATTTAACAGCACTTTATTTAAATTTTATTGGCAACAACAGCCAAACAATCTCCATCTTTAGAACTGGGACCAAAGCAATAACATAAAGAGATAGTAATAACATTTGTTTGGTTTTGAAACATTTCAGAAAGGAAGATGTTCACACTGAAGCACACAATGTAAGCTGAATTTTATTCCAGAAAAAAAAAAATGTGAATGGGTAAACTATAAGCAGACTTAAAGGCTAAGAGAAATTTAACCATATTAGTGTGTATTATATTCAAACACATTTATTTCATTAAACAAATACTTTTACTGATGGGCTCTGACTGCATCTGGTCATTTCCTATTTGTTCTTTGTTTTCAGACTCTTTTATCATGAAGCTTTTAATTCTTTTCTAATTTGCAGCATGTCTAAGCCAAAAGTGCTAATCTACCACCCTAGCAACTAAGTGATACATATATATTTGGTTTGGAAAATGAGTGCAAATACCTTCTTTCCTGTTAGTGTAATTAACAAATGAGTTTAAAAAGTATAATTGACTTTGTACTAAACTTTCTTCAAATCTATTTTAGCTAACCATTCAACATTTTGACACTTTCTCTTCACTTGTCATGAATTGGTTTGCATACAATATAAATATTTCTTTCACCATAGATAAAAAAAAATTGTTGCACTGGAATCAATCAGAAATATAGTTCTTCAAACAACAAACCAGAGTATAGAATAATAGACAGAAAAAAGTTAATTTACTATATTCATTTTCTAGAAACTCACTTGTTCAATGTGTTCATCTCACACACACACTCCCTACACAGCTCCTTGATGATTGTAGATATTCAATTTTTTTTTTAGCTTGAGTTCTTTCTTAGGACTCTACTTTTGGATGTGCTCATTAAGTTATCTTCTTCTATTTTTATTGACTTTTACCTCCAACTTCTGGTATTCCCTTCTGTACTGATTCTTTCCTTCATTTCCTCATGTGAACACTTATAAAAAATTCAAGCTGTAAATCGAGAGAGCTATTACCCAAAATGAACTATAAAGAACAGTGGTCATTTTTGGTTTTGTGTGAGGTTTCTTTCACTAATGTTCTCTTCCCTATGTAAGCTTCATTCACCATGGCTCTCCTGTTTGGTAAAACTTGTTTGCATTTATCTCAACAGGGGGAAATGAATGTCACTGCAGTTAAAATGCTTCACTGGAAGTTTTTCTCTTTCTTGGGAATAATCCACAGGTCACTGTGATATACATTAACACTTTTTTTGTAGTCTTAATATCCCGTCTTACCTAAGGTGGTTTTATTTCTGCTGACAAGCCAACAATGGTAACCAAAGAGAATCACAAGGCTGACAAAAAACATGCAGGCCACAAATAGGAGAAAAAGGACATGGAACTTAGAGCGAACACTGGGTAATTCCCCCTAGAAAAGAAATAATAAACAGAAACGAAAGATTAAAGTTGTAAGGATTGGTTAGTTTTTCTATAAAGATTAGTAATTTTTCATATGTTTAAAATGTCTAGCTGTAAATAAAAAGTAGATTTTGTAAAATTTGTAGAAAATTTTTTTCTTTTGATGACCATGCCTCTTATAGATATGCTTTCAGCTTACAAAGCCTAATATGGATTCTTGCTTAAGTGCAGGTCACTCTAAAATATAGCATATAATGTACCAATTAGAAAAAGATAATTTTTAAAGAGTATACTTAGTCCTTAATTGGTATGCAATGTCTTAGTTTTAAAATTAGTTTCTAAATCATGAATCACTAACTAGAGGTAATTTTGAGATCATATGGTTCATCCTCTTATCTCAAGGTGGGTTACTCTGGAATACTTTATATGTCATATTTTCTTGGGTGCATATGTGTGTTTAAAAATGTCATTATGATATATGTAGGAAGTTAAAACACATAGGTAGAAATTTTTTTTAAATATATTTTATTGAGTTTTTACAGAGAGGAAAGGAGAGAGATAGAGAGTCAGAAACATCGATGAGAGAGAAACATTGACCAGCTGCCTCCTGCACACTCCCCACTGTGGATGTGCCCGCAAACAAGGTACATGCCCTTGACCGGAATCGAACCTGGGACCTTTCAGTCCGCAGGCCGACGCTCTATCCACTGAGCCAAACCGGTTTTGGCCACATCGGTAGAATTTTTAAAATGTTCTGCTCATAAGTCATGAACTGATTTTAAAGCTACTACAAATTTTGTCTGATTGTGTGTGTTTGTTTTTTATAGCTGAAGTATGATGTGCTGATATACTACATCCTGTAAAATTACTGTTTAGACTGTAAAATTAAGCAGATTTGACAGGATAATTTAAAAGCAGGTAGCTAAATATTTTTCTAGTTAGTTGGGACATCTTATTCTCCATGTGGCACCAGTTTTTTAAAAATATGCAGCCCTAAACCAAAATGAATTTTTTAAAGTTCTATAGCATGCACAGCTCATAACATTTTGTCTTCTATAGATAATCTTAGAAAAAAATTCAATTTTTGAGTGAGCAGTTATGGTAATGACTTTCCTTTATCCCTTCCTTTTCTTGCTGATCATTGTTTAGGCTTGATGAATTATTTTGAAATATTTACAAATGATCTCAAGTGATAAAGTTAAAGCTAATTCTCAAAGTGGACCTTACATTAGGATCTGGTTCTACTCTAGCTTAGAAGAAGAAAGTTAAGGCTGGGAAAAACTTGGGAAATTTAGGTAGTACCAATTTACTTCTTCTCTTAGAGGAGATTTTTATTCATTTTGATGTGAAGAAATATTGGAAATCTTCCTGTGTGTGTTTGAAGGCTAAAGATAAGGGGAAGTAAGCCAGTGAGATGCTTCCATATGAGAGGTGGGCTGGGTGAAAGCGGAATAAAATTTGCTCCCTTTTGAAATGATTCTTCTTGGCCTAAGCATCCAAACTGAATTTGATTGCTTTTTGCTTGTTTTGTTTTGAATTTATAGGAAACAAATATATCAGTTTGTAGGGGTTTTTACCTGGCTGGGTTTTTATTTCACATCTCTACTTTTTGAATATGTTTTTTAAAGCTTTTAAAACTCATTTATTTTCATTCTTACCTTTTATGTTTAAATGGGAAATAAATAACTGTGCAAGAGGGAGTGATATAAAGTCAGTTCACACCCTGGAAAATATAGCTGAAAATCTTTCCCTGCTCTAAGTACTCTTATAGGACTCTCTTGTGTCTTCCAAATCCTATCTACTGTATTGTCTCTTGATAAAGTACTTAATACTTAACTTTTTTTTGTTAGAAGATGATGGCCCTATGTTCAAAATTAACTTCTCAGAAGATAACCAAGCTAAATTACTCAACCACCAGAAACATTTCAGGGGAATACTAGTGGAATAATACTTATTTTCTAGGTTCTAAAATAATTCATAGCCTCTACGAGGAGATTCATGGCCCAAAATGGGAGATGTAAGTTACTAATTTTTCCTAACAAAGCAGCTACTCTTTAAGTTAATATTAATGGGAGAGACAAATGTGATGGTCTTCTGAATTCTTCATTCTGAATGTGCTAGAGTTTTTCCACAGCAGGACTATAATGGACAGTACGACATGGTACCATGTTTAAGGTCAATGGGCTTTGAGTCAGATTCAATACTGATTTTGAAATTTATAAGCTGGATAATCCGGAACATGTCACCTAACCACTATGAGCCACAGTTTTATCATCTGTAAATGAGACTAACAATTCCTGCTTTGTCTACTTCACAAGGCTGTGGTGAGGATAAAATGACATACTAGATATAAAAGTGCTTTGAAAATAGTAAAGTACCATACAAATAGATGTTGCTGTTCTTAGGAGCACAGCTAGCTTTCTTGATACATAGCTTTTAAAATAAATGTCAGATAAGTTTTCAGGGTGGTATGGTGATTGTGGGGGGGAGAGGGGTGGATGGAGGCAAAAGAGGGTATAGAGGGGCTAAATGGTGATGGAAAAAATAAAATAAAGAAAAAATAATAAATGGCAGTGTTTACATTTCATTTTAAGGGAGACTCAATTTACACTGAGAAAGCCATCCCTAGCCCACATCAAAGTGCTCTCTAGCTGGAGAAACTGCAAAGAATCATTTATTTGAATGTCTTTTTCATTATGAGTGCAAGACAAAATAAGTTTAATCACCTCTCTCACATATGTCAGGCAGAAGCTAGTATATTGTAGAGACGAAACGAGGGCATAGGAAAGGACAAGTCTATGTTCATTCCTGATGTTGCTTGTGAATACTGACATATTTCTGGTGATTGATTCATGTCCAACTATTAACTTTCAAGAGTTTTTAAAAAAAGCATATGGTACCTGGCTGACATTTTTTAATTTGATTATTGGCTGACTAGGAGGGCCAAATGCAAAATGTGTAAAATGTAACATTGTTTACTCAGTTAAACAGTAGACTACTGTGTTGAGCCAAGTAAAGTCAGTAGTGAAGACCAAGGCTGACATTTTGCCTAATGAATTGGATGCAGTTATTTTCTTTACTTTCAGGGTAGTAGCATAGTGTGTGAATAAAATGCCAAACATATCATAGAAACCTGAGCAATTGATAGGAGATCCTGTGTTGTGGAAAGGGACCAATGAAGAAATACCAAGATGGTGAAGCATTTTATATTTGGGGAAAATACAAAATTGATGAGAAAACTTCATTTCTGTTTGTATTTTTGTATCTCTGAGTTGAAGAATTTTATACCCATTATATTATTTCCGATTATTAATATTATTAAATATCCGAATTGATTAAGCAAGTGGAAGGAGGAGTGGAAAGCACTACTAGGGGTGAATCACTATTTAACAATTAAAATCTTCTCAGCTACCTAGAGTCTCACTGCTGTGCCCCCCAGTTTATTATAATCCATATTCTGGTCACAGGATTCATGTTTTTTCCCTGCTGCTTTACCTCTCTGCTTGAGGTAAGATATTCTTGTTGTACAGGCTCTTGTGCAATTCCTAAAATAATAACTAGTAGCTCTGTCTACATCTGTCTTTTGTTATTCAGGTTCAGGTTGGACAATCCTCTTTATGGAACCTTATGATATCTTAGTAAGTATACTAGAGTTGTATGGAGGTAATGTCTTCCGGAGTCCATTGGCATGAAACAAAACAAAATATTTCATTATATTGCTGCCAGAACTGGTACACATATGTAAACTGAAAATCTACATTCAATTATTTTGGAAATAGATGGGTTATGATGGATATCTTCAAGTAGAAGAAAGATGAAAGTAGGATTTCTTTAGATTTCATTATAATTATCGGAATCAGATTTTGAAAGGCAGAGTATTTCCAACAACTGTTTCACTTGATTTTGTTAATGAGCCTATAAAGCAGCTAACAGAGCCAGTATTAGAATCCCAGTGTTTGTTATACAAAGTTCAAATAAGACTCCTCATCTCATTTTGGTAATATGTGAAGATAAGTTAATGTGTCTTTCTTTCCCTGTAGGAATTTTGCAACTCTCCTTTGAACAAGGAATTAGAAAGTATTTTTCTAACAATGAGGGAGTACTTTGTTATGCTTTTTCTTAGGAATCTAAGGATTTAGAATTTGTTTCAACATTTGTCAAGTCTATAATTGGTAACATGTGACTTTTTAAAGCTTGACAAGAGAAGTACATTGTAAAGAATTAGTAAGAATCAAGAGGTTAGGTTCTAGAAGGCCTTAAAAATATTCTCATATATGACAGGAACTTTTTTTAAATTTATTTTTAGTATATTTTATTGATTTTCTATAGAGAGGAAGGGAGAGGGATAGATAGTTAGAAACATTGATGGGAGAGAAACATCGATCAGCTGCCTCCTGCACACCCCCTACTGGGGATGTGCCCACAACCAAGGTACATGCCCTTGACTGGAATCGAACCTGGGACCTTTCAGTCCACAGGCCGATGCTCTATCCACTGAGCCAAACCAGTTAGGCCGACAGGAACTTTTAAAATAGGAATATTTAAATAACAGCTCCTGAATCTCAGAATATTCAACATGGGAAACTTGCTTTTGGTGCTTTCCCTTATGGTTATTTCCATATTAGTTATTTCAAAATGTATTAAAAAATAAGGCAAACAATGTCACAGACTGGAGTATGTGTGTGTTTCTGTGTTTTGTTTTTTTTTGAGGGGGGGGCATGGAATTCAGGATTTTTTAACTTACTCTCCAGTATTTGATGAAATAGCTGAAGACCGTTGTAGCAATGTACAGGCAGTAGAGAACAGAATAACCTAAGAACTGAAGGAAGAATTTATAGTTGGAAAATCCAATGCAATTATTAACCCTAAAAAAAGAAAAGAAAAACTAATTTGAAATCAGGACCCATTTATTGAGAGCACACTGATACATAAGTGAATTAAGCAATGGAAGTATGTTGCTCCTACTGTTTCATTATGTGTTGTGTAGAAATTCAACAGAAATAAAATTCCCATAAGAGGAACAAACTAGAAAAGCAAGTTAACATCACACTTGTTATTCCTTTCATCCACAGGGACAGACACCTGGCCAATCTAATTGTTTTGAACTGGTTCCTGACACACCCAATCAAACTTAGATCTTGGATGCTGAAAACCTATTAAAATCTCAGCAGCTACATTTAGTACAGTGTGGCATGTTCTCTTTGTAGTTAGATGATTTCAGACTGGTTCTCTAGATCAGACCGAAAATTTGGAGAATTGCTGATGCTAACAATTTACAGTATTTTAATTTGGTTATTGGCTGACTAGGAGGGCCAAAGGCAAAATGTGTAAAATGTAACATTGTTTACTCAGTTAAACAGTAGCCTACTTGTTAAGAGCCAAGTAAACATCAAGACAGCAAAAAAACAAACAAAAAACAAAAACAATACTGATTGTATAATGTCAAAATGAAGAACTATTTGTGCTTTATTCCATTACTATGACTAATTGTTAAAGCTAATCGACAAAAGACCATTAGCTTTGTGACCCCAAGAATTCACAACCATACTTTTTATCGTATATTTATTCTTGCTTTAGAATGTTAAGCCTCCTGTCCCTCACACAAATAAGAGCTCAGTGAATAGCAGAAATAGGCATGTTACAACTGTGCTTACTAAAGTAGGCATATTAAGAGACTCTTTTTGGAGGAAAGAATAAAATAAAAGGGCCTTACCAAGGGCAGTGATGGTCCATTTTTAAAACACACCTAAAAAGGGAGCAAAATATAGTGTGATAAGTAGGGCTATGGAAATGAAGCAAAATCTCATAATTTAAGTCAATTTCTCACCAGTACTTTTACATGGTATCAGTACACTCATTCCTAGATTTCCACTATAGCTACACTAAGACTATTGTGTTCTCAGTTATTCCTTGTATTCGCCAAGCACAACAATTTATAGGATCATGCTGGCAACAAGTTGCATGCCTAAAAGTTTAATCTATAAAAGTGGTTGGGAAATCTAGGATATTGATACAGAGAATAGGTCTAGGATATTGCCCTTCATTTTGCTCAATATATAGTTAATTAAAACTATGGAAGAAACTATGTGGCTACATCTGTGTTTGAATCAAGGGTAAGATAAATACAAGTGGAATAAGCACCCAAGAAGAAAGATATGAAGATGATACCTAATTAACATAAAAGTGTGGTTTTACAAAGCTGGAACAATTAGAGTAACAAAACAATGTAGTACTGAGTTATAATACAAAATGTAAAGAGAATGAAGCATCAGTGATGAGAGAGAATCATTGATCAGCTTCCTCCCTACTGGGGATTGAACCTACAACCTGGGCATGTGCCCTGACCAGAATCGAATCATGACATCCTAGTATATAGGTCATGCTCAACCACTGAACCACACTGGCTGGCAAGAGTAACTTGATAATTGAGAAATCTGACAAACACTACCTCACCCCGATGATCAAGACTAACATTACAATGATGTCATGTTTATATTATGTACTCTAGGTATGATATAATGAGCATGGTACTTTACCTCTATGGTTTTCCTCCCCAAAACACACTACCCAAGTCTAATTTAAAGAAAAATATCAGAAAAATTTCAGCTAAAATATATTCTACAAAATACCTGACAATCCTAAAAGCTGTTAAGGTTACATAAAAGAAAGTACATTCTGAGAAAGTATCACATCTAAGAGGAACCTTAGGAGACATGGCAAATAAATGTAATATGGTGTCCTGAATGGAATCTTGGAACAGAAAAAGAACATTACGGGAAATCTGAATAGAGTATGGATTTAAGTCCAAAATAATGTATAAATATTTCTTCATTAATTGTAACAAATTTATCATATTAATATAAGCTGTTAATAATAGGAAAACTGTGTGAGACTTATGAGAATTATCTTTACAACTAGAGGTCTGGTGTATGACATTTGTGCAATGGGAAGAGGGGGGTCCCTTCAGCCTGGCCTGTGCCATCTCACAGTCCGGGACCCCTCAGGGGATGTCCACCTGCCAGGCCCCAAGGGGTCCTAGGCACTGCCCTGCTTCTGACCACCATGGGGCAGCTCCTGCATTGACGGTCTGGCCACTAGTGGTCAGTGCACATCATAGTAACTGGTCGTTCTGCCGTTTGGTCAATTTTCATATTAGCCTTTTATTATATAGAATAATTCTATTCATCTAAAACTGTTCTAAAATAAAATGTTTATTTATTATTATTTTTTAATCCTCACCTGATGATATTTTCCCATTGATTTTTAGAGAGAATGATGGGAGGTGGAGGGACAGAGAAAGAGAAACATCAATGTGAGAGAGACACATCAATTGGTTGCCTCCCAAGTTGAGCCTGCAACTGAGGTATGTGCCCTTTACCAGAATCAAACCTGGGACCCTTCTGTCTGCAAGCCAATGCTCTGTTCACTGAGCCAAACTAGGTAGGGCTAAAATGTTTATTTTTTAAATGAGACTTTATTTTTCTTTCCTATCTTTAGAATAGTTTGAATTATCATTTCTATGAGTGTGTTTGGCATGTGCTCATTATAATTGAAAGGAAATGCTCTTATCTAGGAATGGTTACATGTTAAGATCAGTCACATTGTTGTCTTGGCAACCATCAATTGCAAAGCTTAGTCCAGGGAAAATATAGCTGTCACTTACATAGCACAGACAGAACAGTGGTGGCAGCGATCTGGCTTGATCAAATGGCACTGGTCACAGAATCTTACAGCTATAGGAAAAATAAGATGGTTAGCACTGATTAGAGCTCAATGTGATACCATCTATCTTCCTAGCTTATCTGAATGGCTTGCTATATATATATATAGATTACAGGTAGGCAAACTCATTTCAAGTTATCAGGCAAAAGGCAAATTGCATAAGAGAATTGTAGTATGTATGTTTTTTTCCTATTGTATCAATCTTTTTTTTTTTCAAATACAAACAAAAGTTCATTTAGAAAGTCACAGAAGTAAGAAAGGTGAGCCAGCTGGGCTGCACAGGCTCAGGAAACAAGATACAGAGGCAAAAGAAGGTCCTTTGGAGATTAGGAGAGAGAGTGTGCACAAATGTATGCACAGGGAAGAAAGGGGGAATAGAGAGAGAGAGAGAGAGAGAGAGAGAGAGAGAGAGTCCTGGAGAAAGTAGGGG